TAATTCAGTCTGACAACCTTTGAGCTTAAGTTTTTAAAAACATATGGTACAACTCAAATGAGTATTAATACTATTCTCACTATCCAGTTGGAAAGGTGTGTGTGCATATGAGAGAGAGAGACTTTTTTTTTACTTTCTAAAATTTTATTATACAAATATTAAAAACAAATGGTGAAAGTGCAAAGGCATATGGCCCTCTCTGGGGCTAAGCATGAAACAAGTGTTAACAACAAAAAAAACATGTCACCAGAGATTGAAATCCCCTCCCCAACACTCCTTGTGGGGTTACATATAGGACCGGGTGTCTGTCTTCCACCTTGTAGAGTGCCCCCTCCATGTCCCAGTGTGATGGGGGTAGAGATAAAGTGTATGTTATTACAGTGATATTAAATGTTCAGCCTGGCTTGATTTGAAAAGATAGTAGTGTATCTAATGAAGTGTTATGATGTGTTTCCAAGCTAGGTAAGTATTTTATGCAGCAGTATAGTTCAGATAAATTTAGAACATAAATTTTTGGTATTCACATTGTTCTACTTGAACTGCATAAAAGTAAACTGAGATTGTTTTGGAGCATGTGCGTGAATCTTAAGTAGTTTAGAAATTAATGGAAGCACACAACTTTCTCGCTATGATACTTGTTTTATAGGGCATGAGCACAGCCATTCTCTGTTTAATGGTGGTCTCAGCCATGGACACAGTCATGGAGGTCATGGTCACAGCCATGAGTCCAAACATGGGCATGGCCACGGACACTCTCATGATCATGGGCACTCTCACAGTCAAGATTATTGTCATGGTAAGTATCTATGACTACAAATAAAGATCCATGCACTTGTTTTGCTTCAAACAGGTCTTTGTAAATAAAAGAGAAGATGTTGGCAACTTTCCCCAGCCAGTTAATACAGGTTTCCCTCGATTTATGAGAGTTTGATTTATGCAAATTCACTCTTATGCAGTATATACCTGAAATATGTTATATGCGAGGTAAATTTGCTGCTGGGCAATCAGCATAGGCACACTGCCCCCTCCCCCAAGCAGGTAAGTCTGTGAGTGTGTGAAGGGAGGAGAAAGGGACATGGGGCCAGGGCCCCACTCACCGCAGCTGCTCTGGGAATGGCTGATGCCACTGGGCTGCACTGTGCCCCAAGCCCCATAGGACTCTGCTTGCCCTGGGGCACCATGCCCCGAACCACACAGTGCGGTGTAGTCCAGTGTCTGTAAGCAGGCAGTGTCCACGCTCCCAGGGCTGCAGCAGAGGTGGGCAGCAGCCTGCAGTGGGACGAGCAGGCTGG